GAATGATAGTAAAAGGTGTGGCTAGGGAGAGTAGGACCTGCTTAGAGTTCTGAGAGAAGCTGTGCTGTCACAAGAGACAAGTACCTGGGATGGTATTACTGCACTGGTGGGAGAGAAAAGGAGCAGTCCTCCAGCCTTTGAGCCAAAGTTGAATGAAGCCAAAATCTTCCCTGTGATGAGAATATCATAATGAATCAGGATCTTCTTTAAGTCTCAAAACAGATGGTTTTAGGAAATATACTTAGTTCTTATCTGTGCTCACCTTTGGGACATCATTTACAAGCGGTGCAAGGAAAGGGGAGGACTTGGACAAGCATCAGAGATGCCTGTCTGCTTTTCCCACGCTCTGAATTGGATTCCTCCTTCTCCAGTCATTAAATAAAGTAGTGCTGCTGCATGATCATTTAATGTTGGTTCCTCTGACTCTAATCCATTCTGTTTTCAGTATATACCTCAGAAATCTCTTAATTTAACTGTATTTTTTCTCATATTCTCCTTCACATTTTATATTTATCTGTCCTGTCAAAAAAGCTCAACATTTCTCGTGTTTAAGGAAAAAAGTAACTGCAATTGTATTTGCTTTCAAAATCTAAGAAATGGACTGCACTTGACTACAATTTTCATGTGTGCTATTGTAATTTAGCTACTGAACCTAAACATGGTTAGAATGACCCATTTACACATAGAAGTTGACATTAAATATTGTATTGTCTGTAGACAATTCAGCTACTACTAGAACATTTACAATTCACATTACAAAAAATACTTACGCTTCTGAAACAATGCACTTACAAGAAGTAAAATTTGCCAGTATAACTGCATAGCTTCATATCTGTTCTTGTGCTCAATGGGTAGCACTTTTAAATAAAATCACACAACTGCCTAAGTCATATAAAAAGAATGTAGCATTTGCAATTTAATCAGAGCAGCAGGCTTTCCCTTCTCCCCCTTTCTTCACACTTCTTCCCTGGCCCACCCTGCTTCTTGCAAGAACTTTGCCATTAAAAAAGTATACTTATGCAAGTGGTATTTATCCTAGAAACCCCATCTTTGGATTATATTTTCTGAAACAAGATATATTTAGGTTATTAAGAATATATAAAAATTATCAGCATCTACAAGCATGTGCTATGTTTTGAATTCTTATCGGAGAGAATTCTTTACCATGTATTTATGAATTTTGGATGGTTTTGTAGTTAGGGATACTTGCTGGGAAACATCATAGTTCAATATTTTCATTATCCTTGCTTTAATGTGATGGTGGTTAAATATTTCCAGGTACCTGAGCAAGTATAGACTCTAACAGAAGTTATTTTATAATAAAAAGTGTACTATTTCTTGACTATAATAGCTATAGCAGATTAATTGACTGTTCAACAACAAAGTGATGGGAAGCTGCTTTTCCTAAGAACTGATTGAGTGAAAGGAAGCAATTCATGTGGCTTCTAGAAAAACAGAAACCTATTGATTTCTGCCATGCAGCTACTGAAGCGTGAGTGTGAAGAGTGTATTGTCAAGTATCCTCTTTGTTTCACAATTATTATGTGAAAGTGCTTATAACATGCAAGAATTACAAATCCAAGCTGAAAGCAGTGTGGTTTTAAGAGCTCTAAAGTGTTTCATGCTACTCTTTCACTAAAAACTAAAATTTGCCTTGTAGAAGTGAAACGGCAGTCTGATCTTGCCTTTGTTTTATCTTTAAAATGAAGTCTGTATGCTTACATTTGCATTCAAAAAGAAGAAATAACCTGACTGGAATAAAGTAGTTGAATAAAAGTGAATTTTCACATAGGATAGGTCAGTATCACAAGGTGTTCAGCTATGAAACAACTTCTGATACTCAGATTTTATTTAATATCTCATGAAGACCTTCAGTTTGACTAGCCTAACCATACAATGGAATTAGGTAAGAGATGGAGAGATTGAAATGAATAGTACCTTTTTAGTATGAAATTCTATGGCATTTTCATTCTTAGCCCCATGATGAATTTAAGGTTAGTCTTTCTGACTTTTAACTCTCAACTGAATTGTAAAGAAAAATGGAGTAAAAAAAAGACACTTTTTAGCTTTATGCTTTCAAGCATCTCAGTTGAGTTCCTGTGTAACTGAGATGTAGAGTGTATTTGCACATGACTAATATAAATTATTATCGGGGGTGTGGGCAATTGATAAGACTGACAGTGTTTGTATTGAAACTTCTATAATGTTTTGTTCATTGCATAAGTGTAATCACTTCACTGTTACTATTTTTTTTCAAGAGTCTTGCATTTCATTTACCTTTGAAAAACCCCAAACCCATAAGTTGTTGGATTGGGGTTTTTTGCTATCTTATTTCTGTGTAGTATCTTTATCTTCTGGATTTGTAGTTTAGGCATATTTTTATCTTTTTATCTCACTAATAGCTCTGCTTGCATGCTGGCATTGTTTTGATTTGGTTAATGTCAGTTTAACCTCATCATCAGGTTTGGTCTTCATTTTATGTTTATTGTTAAAATGCTACTTCATTTTCTTTAATCTTTTTTTTTTTCCCCTCACACTTCCTTTAGTTCTGTAACTACACTAAAAATCAGACTTTAATATATATTAGAGTTCTTTACATCTTAGAAAAAATAATCTGAACAGATTCATTGAATTACTGTAGTAGTAATCTATTCTGTTGGACCGTGCATAACAATTAACATTTTTCTTGTTAATTAAATCCCATAAAGTACACTTTTTGCCAGAGTATAGTGAAATACTCAAGTCTTCTGCATTGGTACATGTCTTCTGCATTAGCTGAAGTTTGTTTTGAAATTTTTGTGTTTGCTTAATAAAGTTTAAAAAAAATTCCATGGTAAATACTGAACGTTGTCAGTCTTCAAACAATATACCTGAGAGCATACAAATGCCTTAGTAATCAGTGATATGAGTAGATGTTCTGTATGAGGGATGATTGAATTGTAATCTAAGTCAGTTGGATGGATATCTGTGTACTTCTGTCTGATGTGTAGAATGAATAGTTCAGGTATGTTATTGTTTTCCTGTCTGAAAATCTCTTGATCAGAGTTGCAAATTTATTTATAACTGTCAGATGCCTTTCACTGAATTATTGTTTGTTTTTGTTTATTAGCTGATTGAGTGAATGTTTTGTTCTGGAAAGAAAATCAGTATGTAATTTTAAAAGATTTTGAAGGAAACCTCGTTAAAGGAAAATGATAAAAAGGTGGTTAGTCCACTATGTATTTTGGTAGATGAAGTAGGAAGAGATTTGTACACATTCTTAGAGCAGTTTATAGGTAGTCCAAAACAGAGGGAAGTGACTACAACTTTACTCCTGTTTAGTGTTGTATGAACTGTCATCTCACTCGAGTGACCTGGTAGATTAGCTGTGCATTTGACTTTAAAAGACCCTTTATAATTGTCCAATTAAAGTGATAATGTCTGATCATTGAAATGTAATGGTGCATCCTCTGAACATTAAGCATTCTATTGTGAAGATGAATTAGAATAATCCATACTGTGGATGACTGTTCTGTTTCTGCTTGTGTTTTAGTTAAATTGTTCAGTGATGTAGACATAGCACAGTTATAAGGAGTAGATTTACATTTGTGCGAAGATGAAAAAATGAGAGTAAACTGAATAGTGAAGTTAGTCTATGGACATTAACATTGGTTCTAGATCTGTCTGGACAATTAGTCATTATTTCCCTTATTTTAGAAAATGAAACAATGGCAAAACCGTTTTGCTTTAATTGGTATACTTCTGTTGGCATTTTAAATGTCCTGAAATTGAATATTGAGAACATACCAAACACTCCAAAGACACGTAACTGAACTGGACTAACATAATTGCAAAACCAGGTAATCAGTGATCAGATGGCTGGCTGTGCCTTAACCCGAGAGGTATGCCTTTTTCAGTGCTTGTCACAAAGATGACTGCACTTTCCCAGCATGGAGCGGTAATGCAGAAGACTGGAGCACAAAAT